GTTTGTGGTTGTTTCAGGCTAGCAGGGTTTTGTCTTCGTCTATATCTACCCCTGTAGATTGCTGCTGCTGATGCTGGTGATGCTGCTGCTGCGCCTGATGCTGCTGCTGCTGTTGCTGCTGCTGCTGTTGCTGCGGATAGCATCATCGAGAGCTGGTGTATCTGCTGCTGCTGTTATTGCTGCTGCACCTACTTCTGCTGCTGCTGCTACTACTACTACTCCTGCTGCTGCTGCTGCTGCTGCTGCTGCTGCTGCTGCTGCAGGACACCAATTGGGTGTTTAGTGAGGGGCCCGGAGGCGTCGGCTGTCGCGTTCAGTTCTCTACGAAATTCGCAGTTAGCTGCTGCTGCTGCTGCTGCTGCTGTTGCTGCTGCTGCTGTTGCTGCTACTGCTGCTGCTGTTGCTGCTGGTGATGCTGCTGCTTGCTGCTGCTGCTGCTGCTGCTGCTGTTTGCTGCTGCAGTTTGTGCCGCTGCTGCAATTCGTTATTATACCTCCGCTCAAACTGCTGTTGCTGCTGCTGCTTTTGCTGCTGCTGCTGCTGCTCCTTCTGCTGCTGCTGCTGCTGCTCCTTCTGCTGCTGCTGCTCCTGCTGCTGTTGCTGCTGTTGCTGCTGCTGCTGCTGCTGCTGCTGCAGTGCCGTTCTGTTATATATCAGCAGATTGGGCGTTTGTTTCTGCATGAGGTAGCAGCAAAGACAGCTGCTGCTTTTGATCGTCGCGTTGCTGCTGTTTTTCCTAGGCTGCCAGCAGCAGCAGCAGCAGCAGCAGCAGCAGCAGCAGCACCAGCAGCAGCAGCAGCAACAACAACTGCAACTGCAGCAACAACTAGAACTATAGCAGCAGCAACAGCAACAGAGGGAACAGCAGCTGCTGCTGCTGCAGATTTACACGCTGCAGCAAAAAAGCATAGTGCTGCTGCTGCTGCTGCTCCTGCTGCTGCTGCTGCTGCTGCTGCGGAGGCCAAACGTGCAGCAGCAACCCCCGTAGAGCAGCAGCAGCAACTGCAGCAGCAGCAGCAGCAGCAGCAGCAAGAGCAGCAGCAGCAGCCGAGTGACCGGACTGAGTGGATGCTGTCTCCTGGGGCCCATCAAGGTATCCTTTAGCGTTTGCTGCTGCTGCTGCTGCTGCTGCCGCTGCTGCTGCTGCCGCTGCTGCTGCTGCTGCTCCTGTTGCTGTTGCTATTGCTGCTGCTCGTGCTGCTGCTCGTGCTGCTGCTCTTGCTGCTACTGGTCTTGCTGCAGTGTCTGCAGCTGCTGCTCATGCTGCTGCTAATGCTGCTGCTGCTGCTGCTGCTGCTGCTGCTGCTGCTGCTGCTGCTGCTGCTGCTGCTGTGTGGGGTGTA